TTCAACATGAATTACCAATCGCAATAATAAATAAACGAATAATTTTCAAGTAATTTCATGTTAAAACTAAGATTTGCATATCTTCAAGTTCCGTTCTATGAGTACTAGTGTTTCACTCCAAGATGTTGCTGCTGTCGTCGCTGTCGTTGTCGGAAAGCCAAATTGTATAGCTTAAATATAACCCAAAATTATTTGACTGGAATATATTATGCAGAGCATCCTCTCACTATCTTTTCATTTACAAATCACTTCCTCTGTGGATTTTATTCTGTATATTAACTGCAATTTTCTCTTTCTCCCTCTCTCTGCCACTCTTCATTTCTTGTCTCCTATTCAAATAACTCGTGCGGATGACATTTGAGCGGCTTTCATCATCATCAAAAAAAAGGCAACGTTATTTGTTTGAAAATTATGTTTGAGCACTTTATGTATTTCTTTGGTCGCTTCTAAAGAAGTGCTAAACCTAGACACAATCTACTATTTCATTCAATTTGTGTAAATATGTAGGCTGTGCGAAGCACCGGAAAAAAATATATATGAAAGGATAAAGAACAGAACTTGTCTGTGTGCATTCATAATTTGATGATTCGTAGTTTGAGCGTTTGCAAACTTTGTGCAGACGACATCATAAAAAACTAGATCCGAATTCGGAAACATAGATGATTGATGAAAAAAAAGACACACACAAACAACTCAATAAAATGCGATCTAAGCAACCGGTATTTAATTGAATGAAAGCGATCTTGTCTTGTGACCTACACGCGCATCTTCATGATCAAATTGTTTTTATGGCATGTGTTATGACGAAACAAAAGAGACAATTCCACCATAAATGTACGTGCGCGCAAAAAAAAGAGAAGAATTTTGTGATTTGAGGCTCCAAATACTTCCTTTTTACCATATGCTCAAAAATACTTGTTGGCAATTTTAACGGTTTTTTTTTCTTTCTTTCATATTTGGATCGTCATCAGATCTCACAGATGTGAAAAGAAAAAGTCACATGGGACTGTTACATGTTGATTTTAATTACATTTTTAATAAACAACATTTTAAAGATTGGGAAAAAAGGCACCGAATCGTTAATTTAAAAGATTCGACCATTTTTTGTTATTTTAATTTAAATGTCATGAATTGGAACCGCTGATAACCAGCATCTTTTTTTTCTTGATCGGACGATCGTTACTATAATTCGTATGAATTAAACACTTGAATTTAATTTCAAATAAAAATGTGTAATACGATTAAGTCCTGTATCCTGTTTCAGGTACGCATATTTCTTGTGTGGAATCTTCGCTGGTCCTTTTTCGCTTCAATGTTTTTTTTATTGTAATGGCGGCCACTATGGGTCAAAGTACAATAAAATATCCTCGCCTTCCGTGCAGTAATTGAGTTTTTCCCGTTGGTTTGTTGTATTGTTGTTGTGTAAACGCGTGAATTTATCAAACCATTCGAGAAAAATTCAAATAACAATAGATTCGAGCAAGCATTGGCGAAGAACAGAATCCGACGACCGAATCAAATTGTCCGCATAATAAAATATGAAGAAGGTTAGCGTATTTAGAATGTTTTTAAAAAAAATGTGTGTTCCTTTCTTGAGATCTATTGTGTTTGAGAGAGGCCAACTATTGGAATTTCTTACCCGCGGCATGTAATCGGCAATGAAAATGAGACAAGAGAAATCGTGTTCGGTTTACTGTGTTCGATATAGGCCGAAAACAATGAATGATTCGGTGACCCCGTTTCATTTGCAGACATACATGAGCATTTGAACAACGCGCGCACATATATTCAAATGTCAAATTCGATGCCAACATTATTTTAAAATTTATAGACATTAAAATTAATTCAATTCAACACTTTTTGTGTGCCTATCTATTATGTATATTGTTTGTCTTGTGATTTGGATAAGGATGACCTTTCCAACTTCGACATTTTTCGCTGTGTCTCTAGTGTCCCTCTCTCTCTCTCTCTCTCTCTCTAACTCGCTCCACAATGAAAGCACCGGAGGTAGAAAGGAACAAAACATAGTGATCCCAAAACATTATTTTTTTTTCTTTGTTTATTTTAATCTTTATTAGACCATCATGTAAACGCACATTCAATTCAATCAAAAGATATATAGTGAATCGCCGCAATAATACGGTTTCGGGGCCATTTCTTTCTTCTAGGTTTTTTTTCCTCTTTACTTCGAGTCCGCGCGCATACATTTTGTACATTCATTTGAATATTTGGAATTTTTCGCTTTGTCGTAATTTAATCGCCGACCCAAATATCATCGGAACTGTATGCAACTCGGGAGGCTTTGTTAATTGAAAGAATGAGAGTGCCGAAACGAAAAGAAAAAAAGGCACATACACACACACTGATCAACTGAACTCAATTAGAACAATATGAAATGCATGGAATGATTTAGTGCGTAACCGATTCAATTATCAAACAACTCCGGGTTCGTTTTAGTTGTTGAAAAATTGAAAGAAAAAAAAGAAGGAACTTTCAGTTGATAGAGGCAATGAAGAGAATCGACTAATTTCTCTGTTGAATATTTGCTGGCACCGGCCACTTTCTTTTCTTGTTCCTCCAAACGGAAGAGTTAGATTCCAATAGAATTCAATTAAAATAACAGTTTTTCTCGACCGGACTAATTCAATTCATAACAGAAATGAAACCAATTATTGTTCATTTTCAAGCATTAGTTCAAATGTTTCAAAAGTCGCCAGGAAATGAGAGCTCGTTATAAATATGCCAAAATGAGTTTCCATGGTGAATAAAGTGGAAATTGGAGCGAATCTGTTACATTGCGTCAATGATATGCTTTTTTGAAAAAAATGATCTCCTGCAATCATTTGAGTGCAAAGTGCATGCGAATATTGCATTTCATTGACTTAACCACATCAAGTCTTATTACAGATCACATGTATTTCAATGAATCACAAAAAAAGGAAAAACAAATTGAAGTGAATTGAACAAGTAATTTAAGTCATGCACATGGCTCGCAATTATGCTCTCTTTTTTCCTTCAAATGTGGATAACAGACGATCAAATTGAAGCAATTGCATATGGGTCTACATGAAAACCAATGTTCATGACATAAAAATAGAATTTCAACGAAAAACAGTAGTTACATCAATTCAAAGTTAATGCTATGATGGAATTGGAGAAAAAAAATATATATTTTTACACTTTAAATTAATAAAATCATGTTGGTTATTGGTTTCTGTTTAGTCTGGCGGAGCAAATGAACAGGCACTGTTTACATGTGTCGTTGTTTTTAGTTTTGTTCATGGGTAATTGAAGACTATGAGAAAGACAGAGAGAGGGAAAAAACGCTGCATGTTTCCATGAACAAAAAAAAAAATCCGAAGCAGCATAAAACAAACGAATGCGAGTAATGAAAAATATGAGAATTTAGTCCAAGTGTTGAACAGTCTCCATAGGACAATGTTTCTCATTATTTAATTCAGTATTTTCTTTGTCGAATATGTATGCACGTTTAAAAACGGGGAGAGCATATTTATCTGTTTGTGATACGCATGAAATGTGAATGAACAACAGTGAGAATGAGACAAAAACGGTTTCTTCTCTTCATTTGTACGATGTGTGTGTCTTTGAAGTGTCGCATTTTGTTTATTACACGATGAAACGACGCAATCATATAGCATTATTCTCATTCTTCTTCTTCTTCTTCACTTTAATTTTTTTTTCGCTTATTTGCTGGAGCTCGATGGTGGTGTCGATTACCGACACACATATGTATGGAATTACAACAGCACAATGCACTCTCATAATATGACTTAATACCCGGCCGATATGAATAAGTGCATAACATAGGTTATGATTTTTATATGCAATAAAAAATGATTTGTTTCTACCAATTGCTTCTAAAGCTGGAATGATGTTTAATTGCGATGCGCATATGCATATGTATGTGAAGATGCGTTTAAAAAAAACGGGCGAATCTGGTGCTCAATTTTATTCAGTTGGACGATTGGTGTAGCACACATTTTGTTTTATATTCAGTGGCTGCTGTTGCCGTTGATACTGGCTGACGAATTTCCGTTACACGCACACAACACCCAGATACAGACAAACAGATAAAAATGAATACAATCATTCCTTTGATTGGGATATTCAGTTGGCGTTGTTAACGCGCGTGAGCGATGTATACATTGCACAACATCAAATATTTGATTTTCCTTAGCATTTGAATGAATGCATTGAAATGACTCGAATCACGGTCGCAACTTATGTATACGTCAACCGAATGTCTTGACACAAAGAAATGATATTTTATGACGGTTTCACTTACAGCTACTGCTGTTTCTCTTCCTTTTCTCAATCTCGAGTCGTTGTGTGCATTTCTTTTTTTCTGCGCTTCAGTGACAAGATTCATCATTCGTTTCATAAATTATGAGTCATTTCAGCAAAAAAAAAAAAAGAAAAAAAAAACAAATTATGATAAAAAATGATGTATTCTTGCGTTCATTTGAGTCAAGGCCAAATAGTTGGCTCTGCCAAATGTTTTAACCGATCATTCCTTTTCTTTCCTGTTTGTTAAAAAAAGAGAATCTCTTTGTAAAACGATGCGTTCCAATTACATTACATTTGCACTCGAATTGCATTTTCTATTCATACGCAAATCTGGTACACAAAACGGAGAATTTGTGATCCAATAAATGCTCTATTCAAATGCAAAATGCAATTCATTGTAAAATTAGATTTGAGCATAGCTTGTAAAGATTATCATATATTGAGCTTATACTGCTTGCATTTTTATTCATTTGGGGTTTCAGCAATGCTTCCTGGAACATAAAAAACCATTCAATTGAATCAAGATCGAAGGATTTAGTTATTTACTTTTTTGTTGTTGCACAGAAGAAAAGCCTATGGCATTGTCTTTACCAAGAAACTATTTTTTAAGATATATCTTTGAAAGAAATTAGATCGGTCAAATGCATAATTGTTTGTTTACTCTTTTTTCTTTCTTTTTTTTTTGTCTTCAGTAAACGATCAGGACGTTGTCAATCAAGATGAATCGAAGAATAGCTGTGAAATTTGGAGAAAATGCGAGAATGACGATTTGAAGTACCCTCGTACACCTACATCGTTTGCATTCGCCTCATCGCTCAAAAGGGCTGAAAATATTAGCAGAAAGGACGATGCAACGGATTCACGGTAAGTTCAAATTCTTCTTCAGGTGGTGGGTGATAATCATACTTATTCAGGCGCTATGAAAGTGACCGAGATTTTTTGTTGAAATCCAATCGATCATTGTGAATCCATTGTGAAATTTTGTAAAATTCTTAACGCTATAAGCCACAGAATCCAAAGAAATCTTTCTTTCTTTTTTGCAAACCAATAATCAATACAAAACAATGCTCTCAATACAAAAACGATGTATTGTGATTGAGATTTTTCGTTTTATGTCCATCATAGAAGTTCAACTGACTGTGCCAATTTTCAATGGAATTATTTAATATTGAAAAGAAACTGAAAATCAAGTGGAAAACAGTGCGGTGCCGACGACGACGACGATGCATTTCAGTCTCTTTTAAAGCGCAAATACATGTACACGATATCAGAATGCCTTGAAATTAAATAAAACGCAAAAAATCTTCAACAATGACATATATATCAAGTACATCTAAACATGTATTAAATGCTTGTAGTTGAATTGTTATTGGCATTGTTTGCAACAAAAATGACACGGCGCCGTTTAACCATTCCTTTGTTTGACGATTTGCACTCAAACTTTTCACTTAGACATCTTCACAGAAAATACATTTAATCGGTCACTTTTTTGTTATTGTGTTTCTTTTCTTTGCGCATTAAATTCCCTCTTTCCTACTCTTTCACTCACCGGTTGATGTAGAAAGTCGGTCAATTCACTGTGTATGCGCTCGAAATGTATGAGAAAAAAAAGTGAATCAGCACCAAAAAATTGGCAATAGCACTACTTATCGATCCCATTTATCTTCCTAGGTTTTTTTATGCTATGGTTCAAACACTAAATTGCTTCTTTTTGTCCTATTGTAGTCAGTTGTTTTTCGCTGTCTCGACTGTTGTTATTGTCGTAGGTTTTTCTTTCTCTGTTGCCTCTACCGTCTATCAACTACATCCTTCAGTCAGGATTTCATTATTCTATCCATTATACTTGCTCAGCATCCATCCAGTCAGTATTCGTGTGTTTATATATATCTCTGTGAATACATTTTTCGTTCCGAAAAAGTTGCTATTCTTCCAAGACCTGGCATTCGAGAGAGAAAAAATGCATTTACCATATCAGATGCATCACATAGACCGCCTACAGTTTAACTTTTTCATTTCTTTTTTTCGTCCATATCTTCCAGAATAGATTGTTTATATGTATGTGTGTGTTGCGAAAATGGATATTTTTAGCAAAACAAAAACCGAACACAAAAAAAAACCTTAATCGCACGCCAGCAGAGAGCAAATTCAAGTCAAGTGTAAAGAAAACACCATACGATCGTCTCGCCATATATATACATTCTTTTTCGCTCAACTGCATGATAGTGATGAGTTCGTAGATTTTTTTTTGGAATACTCACACTGAGCGCGGTCAACTCATCGTCTTTCATTCTACACCCAAAAAAATTCGTTGTGCATCATATGGTGTTTTTTTTTTGTTCATTTTTGCCTAAGCAAGATAAGAAGTAAGAGAGAAAAAAACAGAGATTAATTTCCATATTTTACATTTAATTTTGATTAATTATCTAACGAACCAAAAATTGGAGGATAACCAATGCCAGACGAAGAAAGATTCATTCTCAGCCATCATCAGTTCAAGTAATTGGATATAAACAGCTCTTGGGTGGTTGAATCTGGCACATCCAAGGGGTAAAATGATACAATGATATCGAATTTGATTATAAAAGCGGCCAAACATTTGCAAGAAAGTACTAAGCAGTATTAGCGGTAGTAAAAAATGTATTTTTTTCAAATTGACATTTGACCAGATGTTTTATTTCGGTGCACGAAGAAGATGACAGATATTTTATGAATAATGAAATCAAAAGAATTTATACTGTTTATTCGGATTTTTAGATCGAATTAGGTTTGTCGAATTTCGTTTCTCCTTTCTCTCTGGTCTTTTTTGTCCAATGCCATAATTTGATATATTTTTATGGATTTTCACATCAAAAGTTCAAATTATTGATGCGGTCACACTGAGAGAGGCACACGTTATTTTCAAATTATAATTACACTGTAACTACAATTAGAATATTATGTGTGTATTTACAGTGTGGCCGCATGCATAATTTGAGTTTTTGACGGGAAAATCAGCGAATAGATTGTAGCTACAGTTATAGCAGCACAGGTACTATTTTTATGCAACACTTACGGACAGCGATTTTATGATACAATTCCGAACGAAATGTTCGGAATGTGAAACAGTGGAGTGATGTGGGGCGAGTGAAACACCTTCAGTCTAGTCTAAAAAAAGAGGTGATATATCTTGTGTGTGAATGCGCTCAATGCATATCCAATTCTGACAATATCAAATAGAATTTCAGTTGGCACCAAAAAGGGACAAACATCACTCATGAAAAATCACTTTGTCCAAAGTCTCTATATGAACTGTAATTAACAAAATTGTGTGTTTTGTATTTTCCTGAGAAAATGTCGATTTTTCTAAATTGAATAATGGCACGTTACGGAAAACGGTCAATTTCGACGAAGTGTATTTTCCATTTGGTCTTTCTCAAATCACCACAATTTAGCAAAGAAAGTGCACCATTTGACGTAAATACATGTTTCAAAAATGTTTCTTTTCATTTTACACAATTCAATTTGAAATAGGAGACGAGAGAAGGAGAGAGAGAGAGAGATAGAGAACACAACAAATGAGTACCATATCCCAATATCATTTTGACAGCTCTGTTGGCCCATTCGTAATTTATTAGCTGAGAACAAAATATTACACAATCTACGTAAACCAAAATCCATTAGCAAAAAAGGAATGAAAATGAAATAAAAAAATACGAAGAGATATCTTTCGAATTTTGGCTTGTTGATTATTTAGCGATGGTTCTTTATTTTACTTTGAAATTCCTGAATGCATTCGAATAGAATTCAACAGACGCGCGCGCAAATTTATTTTAAATTTTAAAGAGTCAGAATTGCGAACAACAAAAAATGCTGCACACAAAGTCCTACCTGAATCAAACAGACGTTTACGAGACAATCGATTGAGAAAAAGCATAGGTGTGGCGCTGTAATGGACGATTAAATGCACCTTCAGAATTGGTTACATTTTATCTTTGTCGAAAAGTTTTCTCATCTCCCGAATCGCCTCTCTTTTTTCGTCTCGAAATGAAATACGTTCGTGATTTTGCAACTTTGTCTTGTCGGCAAATTTCATTTTCACTTTTTTCTGTGTCCCAACCACATTTCGCAAGAGATAAATTTATATCGTGCCGAGCAGTGCCGAGCAAGTGGCCCTCAGTTTAAACAACGAAATGACCAATGGATTAATTTTTTGCTTTATTTTTGTTTTTATCATTCGTTCGACAATCATCTGTAAGATTGGATATTTACACTAAAAGCAAGCAGAAAAAAAAGGTACAGAACATGTTTCTTTTTTCACCGACGTACTTGAAATATTTCTTCTATGTTCACTTTTCGGTGTCCTTTTTTTCAAGTTATTTTTTGCTTTGATTTTTCTTTTTAAAAAAAATATTTCTCGCATATGTTCTATTGGCTATTTAAATCCCTTATGATCTCAATTCTGATAGATTTCAATTTCGAATGAACGAAACAAACATGATTAGCAGTCTAATTTGTTAACGTCAAACTTTACTTAGAACACTGAAAATCGATATTTCGATCAAATCGAACATGTAACCTGATCTTGGAATTAGACAAATCGGATTCGTTTGTAACAAAATCACTTTAATTCCATTGGTAATCGGTTCAAAAAATTACTCAAGCAACTAACAAATCGAATCCAAATCAATGGCTTTCATCCGAAGAATATTGAATTCATCGAAATTGCTTGAAGGCGAATCCATCTGCTTCAACCGGCAAAAACCTAAAATTTATTTAAATTTCGAAATTCAAATCGATTGCTAGTGAAATGCCTTCATATTATCGCATCATAAATCAATGCTCCCAACAATTATATGTAAATACAGAATATTAGAGCTATTTCATTATCATAAAGTTCCCGAAAACCAATTTTGATTTATTCATCTAAAATCATAAAAAAAGGATTCCTTATTCTACATCCAACATGCGGTTTATGGATCATATTGTCGATCGTTTGTGAAACTATTCATTAATAGCTGTGCTATTGATCCATTTGTCTAAACACAAATAAAAGCGAATCATTTTGGAAACACATTTGGACAGAGATCATTCTCTGCCATGTAATTTCAATGAATTTATGACATGAGAAAATGTTTTTCAACTAGAATTCCATGACGCAGCTCAAAAAATTCGTTGAGAGTTTCAAAGGATTTTTCTTTAAAAAAACCAATACTAGAATCTCAGCGGCCGATGACAATCGACCAACGTAACGATTTGTATTTGATTCTATTACGCAAGCAAACAATAGAATAGAATCATAGCCACCCCAACAAGAATATATTGACCTGTGCGATTTGATAGGAGCTTGTGTAATCCATGGACAATGCTGCATAAAATGATCGTGATCGAAGGTAGACGAAATAAAAAATTAAATGAAAGAAATCAAATGTTCTCATGTTTTCTCTCTGTCTTGCACAATTTCGTATTTGTAAAATGTTTCATTCATAAAAGAAACTCGTAAGAATTTTTGTTTTTGTTGTATTCTTATATCGTTATACCTGTGCGCGCATGCGTCTAAATGCCACTGTATGGTTGTAAATGCGATGTGGGTTGTTGGTTCGGCTTAACATGTGCGCACCACTCTCTCTCTCTCCCTCTCTGTGTGTATATGGTTTTTGCACCTACATCAACCAGGCGAAAAACACCTGGCGCTTATCCGAATGGCATACGATACGCATCATACGCAACAAAGAGCTTAAGTTCGACACGGCGACAGCAACAACAATAAGACGATGAAAAATGTATAAAAAAACAGCAACACAAACACCAACACAAAACAACCCGAATCTTACAGGATTCTCTTTTATGTTGATGGATTCATCGAAGCGGACTCCAGATATTCGTTT